GCTTATATTCAGCTTATTGTCCACTCTAATCCCCAGCTCCTTTTCTACAGAGCTGCTGCTGCTGCTTAGCCAGTCAGTTCCCAGCCTGTACTGGTGCATGGGATTGTTTCTCCCTAAGTGCAGGACTTGGCACTTGTCCTTGGTCAACCTCATGAAATTTCTTTTGATTCAATCCTCCAATTTGTTGACGTCTTTCTGAATCTAAGCCCTACCCTCCAGCATATCTATTGTTCCCCTAGCTTGGTGTCATCTGCAAACTTGCTGAGGCCCCACTCCAATGCCAACTTCCAGGTCATTGGTGAAGATATTAAACAAAATTGGCCCCAGAACTGATCCCTGGGGCACTGCACTTGATACTGGCTACCAACTAGACTTTGAGCCATTGGCTACTACCTCTGAACCCAATGATCCAGCCAGTTCTCTATGTACCTTACAGTCCTTTTATCCAAGCTGTATTTCCTTATCTTGCTTGTGAGAATATTGTGGGAAATTGTGTCAAAAGCCTTGCTAAAGTCAAGGTATGTCACATCCACCGTTTTTTCCACATCCCAGAGCCCATTATTTAATCATAGAAGGCAGTCAGGTTGGTCAGGCATGACTTGCCCTTGGTAAATCCATGCTGACTGTTCCTAATCACCTTCTCCTCCAGTGCTTAGAAATTGATTCTTTGAGGACCTGCTTCATGATTTTTCCAGGGACTGAGGTGAGGCTGACCAGTCTGTAGTTCCCTGGATCCTCCCTTCTTACCTTTCTTAAAGATGGGCACTATATTTGCCCTTTTTCAGTCACTGGGACCTCTCCCAAGAACCATGAGTTTTCAAAACAGGTGGCCAGCAGCTCTGCAATCACATCAACCAACTCTCTCAACACCTTTAGGTGCATCTTGTCCGGCCCTGTGGACTTGTACACAGCCAGCTTTTCTAAATAGTCCCTAATCTGTTCTTTCACCACTGTTGGCTGCTTACCTCCTCTTCAAAGTGTGCTGCCAGGTTCAGTAGTTTAGGAGCTGACCTAGCCTGTGAAGACTGAGGTGAAAAAGGCATTGTGTATTTCAGCCTTTTCTGAATCATCTGTCAATAGGGTTGCCTCCCCTATTTAGTAAAGGACCCACACTTTCCTTGATTTTCCTCTTATTGCTGACATGCTTGTAGCTAACTGCAACTCCAGTTGCACTTTGGCCTTTTCCAGACCTCTTATTTTATTTGTTGCTCTCCTCTAGACTCTGCAAGATACTTGCATCTTTCTTAATGCACAGGACCCACAATGAGACAGCTGAGGCTTCATTGGGGCTGATTCCTGTACACGCTTCCCAGAATTCTATAGTGCAGCTCATTACATTGTTTACTCACCTTGTGGTCCACTATAGCCCCCAGATTTTTTTTTTTTTTTTGCAATACTACTGCTCAACCTTTGATCTCCATTTTGTGTTTATGCATTTCATTTCTCCTTCCAGACTGTAGCACTTTTGTCATTAGGGAGTTTCATGTTGTTGATTTCAGGCCTTCCCTCATTAAGGTAGTTTTGCAGTTCTGATCCTGCCCTGCAAAGTGCTTTCCTTCCCTCCTGGCATAGTGTTACCTGCACACTTTACTTACAAAACATTTTTCCTTTAGTGTGTTAATCTGGACAAACTGGAACCTATAGCCACAGAAGTGCGGCTGATAAATAAGTCTATGGAGCTGCTGGACGAGAGGAAATTCTGGGCTGGTATTGTCTTCAATGAAATTGCTCCAGACAGCACAGAGCTGCCACCACATGTCAAGTACAAGATACGGATGGACATAGACAATGTAGAAAGGACCAACAAGATTAAGGATGGGTGAGTGTTGACCCATGCTCATCTTATGCGAGGCTGGAGCCTGGGCAAGGATTTCTAACAAGTCATCTTTGTCCCCTTGGGTTAGGTACTGGGACCCTGGTCCCCGCGCTGACCCCTTTGAAGACATGCGCTATGTCTGGGGAGGTTTTGCCTACCTGCAGGATGTAGTGGAGCAGGCAATCATCAGGGTGCAGACGGGCACAGAGAAGAAGACCGGTGTCTATGTGCAGCAGATGCCCTACCCATGTTACGTGGATGATATGTAAGTTGCATGGCATGACGTCCACCTTCTAAAGGAAAGTTGCTGGCTCCAGGGCTGATCCAGAGTTGCAAGGAATGTGGCTATTGCCTCTAGCAGAACTGGGCTTCTAGCATACTACTGAGTTAGCCCTGTACTTCTGTATCAATGTGTGAACCCACCTCCTTTGCTCAGCTTGGGGTCTCTTGCACTCTGAATGTGTCCGAAGGATCTAGGAATATGTGACGCTTCAAACCACCTCCTCATGTGCGTGGGGGGAGGCCCTGCCTCAGGAGAACTCTGAGTGGGACTGCACCTCCCAGGTGCAAAATGGGGGGGGCAGAGGTAGTTACTTCCCCATATTGCTGGTCAGCCCTCATGGCATGGGGGAAACTGTGTCTTCTTACCCTCAGGTGGTTAGCTTGCTCCCTGTAGAAGAAACGGAACTTGTACACAAGGAGAGTACAAGGGATGCGGTTGGTGACTGGTCCTTGTTCAGGGCCCTTGGGCACATGTCTGCCACCGCAATATGGCACCAAGGGGTGCTATGCTGAGACATGGCATTCCCACTCTACACACATGGTTCCCATTGTGTTAGAAGCCATTTAGCTGCTTAGTGTAGTGGCCTGCACACATCCTAGTGTGTCCTGCTGAGAGGCACTTCAGCTCTGAGAAGTGTGCCCATGTTAAGGCAGGTACACAACTTCCAGTCCAGGATGTGTACTGCCTGTGGAATGGCCCTAGTGAGGCTCAGCACGGTTCTCCCACCTGCCATGCAAGGATGTTCCCTCAGTGATAAGAGGTGAGCCACTCACCCAGTGTTACCCAAGAAGCTGCATCAGTTTGTCTCAGAGGCTGTCAGACCCCACAGCCATCCTCTCCTTCCTCGCCACTTCTTGAGTGCCGTGTGTCCCATGACTTCTTGCAGCACAAATAACCACAGCAGCATTTCCCTCTCCCTTTCCTGTGGCCCCTTCCCTTCCTTCCCTCAGCTTCCTGCGTGTTATGAGCCGCTCAATGCCTCTCTTCATGACCCTGGCGTGGATCTACTCAGTGGCTGTGATCATCAAGGGGATTGTGTATGAGAAGGAGGCCCGCCTGAAAGAGACCATGAGGATCATGGGTCTGGACAATGGCATCCTCTGGCTCAGTTGGTTCATTAGCAGTCTCATCCCCCTCCTCATGAGCGCTGGGCTTCTGGTGCTGATCTTGAAGGTGAGATGGGTGTTGTCTTTATCCCCTTCGCTGTGGTGTCAGTCTCCTGTAGCCGCATCACAGCATTGTGCCTCACTGCACCAGCAGCCTAGAAAAGCTAACACTCAGGGAGCAGGTGGTAACCCAGTGGCAAGAGGCAGTTGGTCCTGGAGCAAGGCAGAATGGTTTAAAATAACAGGAGGGCTGCAGTTTTATTGAGCCAGTGCTCCTCAAGGTACCATGAGTCCAGTCAGAAAGCCCTGAGGTGAGGTGGCCCATTGGGCTAATATAGTGAAAGTCCACCAGCTTCTGCAGCCAGTGGCCCATCAGGGAATGATGTGGCTGGTGTCATACCCAGCCACCTTTGACTCCTCAGCCCAATCAAGTAGATTCCTATTTACATCTGAGTCAACTTAGGGGGCAGTCCCTGGGGTATGGAATAGCCCCTCTGGAGCTGTAGCGTGATACCTTAATTGCTCTGCCACTAGGCTCCTGCTGATGTTGTAGGAAAATATACCATTAGCCATGCCCCTGTCCCGCCTGCTTACAGTACTGTTTACTGAAGCAGGCAAGCTGGGGCAGTGAAGGCCATGATTATTAATTACTTCTCTGGGGAGCTTGTCTGATGCCTGATACACAAAATATGTCCTTGCCCAGGTGGGAAACCTTCTGCCGTACAGTGACCCCAGCGTGGTGTTCGTCTTCCTCTCGCTCTTTGCTGTGGTGACCATCTTGCAGTGCTTCCTCATCAGCACTATATTCTCCCGGGCCAATCTCGCAGCAGCCTGCGGTGGAATCATCTACTTCACCCTCTACCTGCCCTATGTGCTGTGTGTCGCCTGGCAGGACTACGTGAACTTCTCTCTCAAAATCTTTGCTGTAAGTTGAAATAGTTTTGGCACTACAGAGCAGCTTTGGGTATTGGTGAGGTCAGGAAAGTGCTCAGGATGATGCAGTTGCAGTGAAGGACAGGCAGGTATTATGGAAAATGAGGCTTCAAGAACCTCTAGAATGATTTTGGGGTCACTTCAAAAACTTTTCTGAAACTGCAAAACTTTACCCCCTCCTCTGTGGTAGAAATCTGGGGTCTCTTCAAAGGATCACTCAGAACAAATGAGGCCAACAGGTTTCTGTGGCTGAAGGGAAGTTCTTGCTTTTTACTAGGGGCAGAGAATCCCTCCCCACTCCCCCATGTACACAAAAGCTAAGTCATTTCTTGTAAAGGCTGTGTACCTATCTTACCACTGGCTTTTTTTCCTTCCATCTGCTTCTTGTCTCATGGTCCTCTAAGGGAGTCACATGACCATGAGCCCAACCCTAAAGGAGGACTGAGTGAGTACCAAATCAGATGAAGGGGGTTGACAGGTCCCTGTCTGTGCACCTCGGGTGGAAGTCCTAGCCCTGCTGGGAATTTTTACTTCAGTGGGGCCAAGCTGCCATCCTTAGTGTGGTAGGCTAGGGCTGTCACATTACATTAGCTCTGAGCTGCCCCCAGTGAGTTCACTTTTAAAGACCAGGTCTTATTGTGTCAGGAACAGTACAAAGACTTAAGCATGTTCACCTCTTCCTCCTCTAGAGTTTGCTGTCCCCAGTAGCCTTTGGGTTTGGCTGCGAGTACTTTGCATTGTTTGAGGAGCAGGGAGTTGGCATCCAGTGGGACAACTTCTTCAGAAGCCCCCTGGAAGAAGATAGCTTCAGCCTCACCACCTCTGCTGCCATGATGCTTTTTGACACATTCCTTTATGTGGTTATGACTTGGTACATTGAGTCTGTCTTCCCAGGTGAGCCTTGATTGTAGGACATGATGTTCTGTCTTCACTACCCTTCTCTTCCCCTCTTCTTTGATACCCACTCTTTAGACTTGTTCTTGCCTATTTGCCAAGAGACCAAATACTGCCTGTTTCAGGCAGAACTGATATATCTCCTACAAAAGGGCACTGGGGGAAGTCTCAGCTATCAGTAAAATTAAGTCAAAGCTGGTAATTATTGGCTTTATACACCAGTATAAATTTACATTGAGGCAAAGCAGACAGAAGAGCAACTATTCCCAGACAGCAGCTTGCAGTGAATGCTGTTACAGTACCTTGCTGGCAGTTGGCAGGGGAATAGGTGATAGCTTACTTATGGCAATGGTTACCTTTGAACAGCTGTGAATACATGAAGCACCTTTGTAGCTTTATCCCTGAATTTTCCCCTGATGGCCGTACACCAGGTTCAGGTAAGTTACTCAGATGTAGGCATTTAAGCTGTCTGTCTGCTCCTTGTCTATATCAGTGTAAAGACTGATTATTCCGGTGTCAATGTGCTTTGTATCCAAGCCCTTAAATCTGATGCAGATTTTAAAATTACTATCCTGTACCTTTGAATAAAGAAATTATGTGCATGATTTTCTGGGCTGATGCAACTACTTCCTGTTGCCCATCTAGGCCAGTATGGAATTCCCAGGCCCTGGTATTTCCCCTTCACAAAGTCCTATTGGTTTGGTGAAGAATCGGAGAAGAGGCAGTACCCCCATTCTGATCAGAAGGGCCCTTCAGAGGGTGAGTGTCGGACACGCTGTGCCCAGAACCTAGCTGCTCTGTTTTAGATGAGGTCAGTGGGGATTTGCCTGGGTAGGGGACATCAGGGTTTAACATTCCTCAATTAAAAGCATGCCTACCTTAGTCCCTTCTCACTGTCTGACTGTGTAGTCAGTGGAAATCAGAAATCAGTGGAATTATTGTCCATATGAGCCTTGTAGGACTTGACTCTTTTGAGGCAAATGATTCTCAGTATGTCTCAGGAGTGGATGCTCCGTGGCAAAAGGCTCTAACACTTGTTGTAGCTTTTCCATGAACTATACCAGACCACAGATCAGGGTGTTCATGCTGGTCATCCAAGTATTACTTAGGACAAAGCTGAAGTGGGCAGCCATGGAGGGAATTACACCTGCAGAAAAGGAAACCAGGAGGCTTCCTAGCTGCCCCACCTTCCTGTGAGTTTCTGCTGAGAAACACAGCAGCTGCTTCAGTAGCAGCTCAGCCTCGCAGTGACAGGGGGCCCATGTGTGTTCTGTACTACCTGGCTGATTGCTTTTGTTTTCTTTCAGTTTGCATGGAGGAAGAACCCACTCATCTCCAACTTGGGGTGTCTATTCAGAACCTGGTGAAGGTTTATCGTGATGGCAAGAAAGTGGCTGTAGATGGGCTCACCCTGAATTTCTATGAAGGGCAAATCTCCTCTTTCCTAGGACATAATGGAGCCGGGAAAACTACCACTATGTAAGGACAGCATGTTTTTTGAAGGAGAGGGAGAAGCACCCCTTATAGTGGTTCTGAAATCCAGTGCTCTTTCTATCCGGAATACCCTACTCAGTATATGCAGGTAGATAGATGGCTAGATCCAGGGCCTCAGCCTGTCTCTGCTGACTTCAGTGGAGCCCAAAAGGTAGAGGGGGGTGCGGCTTTAGGATGGTAGTGAAGGGTAGCAAGTTTCAGGTCAAGGATGATTCTGAATGGCGTACTATCAGTTAGTGCTTTTAAAAACCCAGTACGTGACCCTGGCTTATTGGAATAAGACGGCTCTGTGGAATCCTTCCAGGCTTTTGGAAGAAGGGAAAACATTTCTCTGTAGCACAGAACCAAGCACATGCACTGTGATCTAACAGTGGTGAAAACCTAGCAGTGTCATTTAGGAGACAGTCCTGTGTCTGCTTGTGTTTGCTTGTGGGCAGCAACTACTTGATGTGGGTCATCAGGTAGAAGGATGGATAGAAATGTGCAGATCCAGGTCTGCGCATTTCCCTAGGGTTCAGTCCAAGCCATTATCCATTCATCTGCTCTTGAACTTCTCACTTTGGACTGCTTTATGGCATTTTGGAACTTACTCAATACCTCTCATGTTTGTCATTTCAGGTCTATCTTGACTGGCTTATTTCCTCCGACTTCAGGCACAGCCTTCATCTTGGGCAAAGATATCCGCTCTGAGCTCAGCACCATCAGGCAGAACCTGGGTGTCTGTCCCCAGCACAACGTGCTGTTTGACTTGTGAGTATCAATCACAAAACATCATGCTGGCATTGGTCTGTCACTCATCTCTGACACTGCCACGTTCTGCAGCTCTTAGCCAGCTTCTGGAATCATTCATGGTAATTTAATTCCAGAGTAACTCCACAGAGCCATGATTAGAATAAGGGAAACCCAGCTGTTGAGGTAACTGGGGTATAGCAGTGAGAAGGTTCCTTCTGAAAATTTGTCAAACCACAAAGAGAATCTATTTTTATCACTATGGTTTAAAATGTACACAGACCAAGAATCAAGACTTGTAAGAACAGATCCCCCACTGATTCGTACCAGTCCATCTGTGTCAGTTGATCTATGCCAGGTTAAATGTGTGTCATGGTTTTGTTGGCTTGGGATTCTGGCCTATAACATTCACTGGGAGCTGCAGGGTGGCAATATCGTGTAGCAAACATGTGGCACCTCTTGGGTTCTGTTCCATGACTTAGCATGTAGTGTGGGTTATAGCAAGAAGGTGTACTCAAAGGTGTCAGTCCAGTGCAAAACAGGTTTGGGCATGTACAGAATACACAGCTTGTCAGGAAGACATTCCATTTTGTTATTTGTGCCTGGGGTTTATAACCATACCCTAGACACCATTTTTCTGGAAAGTTGTTTTTTTTTTACTGAGAAAATAAGGCAAACATTTCCAAAGTGATTTTTGGATGTAGGTGCAAGCTCAGACCTCAGAGGAGTTTCACAGATCTGGGCACCCACTCTTAGGCCCTACACTGAGCACTTACAATCACTGTCCCCTTCTGGAGATGCTGGTCCTAGAAATTATTTTCCCATAAACAAGTTAAATTGAGAGAGAGTCCAAGTGTTGAGTTGTGCCTGGGCCTGCTCCCATCCCCTAGACTGACGGTAGAAGAGCACATCTGGTTCTATGCACGCCTGAAAGGCCTGACAGAAAAGGAGGTGAAAGAGGAGATGGAACAGATGGCGATGGACGTTGGTTTGCCTCACAAACTCAAGGCCAAGACAAGCAAACTCTCCGGTAGGTCCAGAAGCTTCAGATCTTCATGCCTCTCTCTCTAGTTGCTTGAAAAGCTCTGAGGAGGGCACTGTAAGAGATTCCGTTGCCTCAGTGTCAAGGGATTGTAATGTAACCTGCCATTCAGCATGTGTGACTCACCCCTCTCCCTGCTTGATTTACCCTGGCACCTCATCCATCTCCCTTCCTGATTTACCCTGGCACCATGACACTGGGGGGAGGCGGGGGAAGCACTGAGCCTAGTGTCTCTTAACTCTGTTACAGTGTGCACATGACTGCAAGAGGCACTGGGGTGCAGGCAGATGGGAATCTGATAGATACCCCTAGCTGAGCTTCATTGTCACACCTGCCTACCTAGAGCACTCCAACATGAATGCTTCTCTCCCCCATTCTGCAGGTGGCATGCAGAGGAAGCTGTCGGTAGCCCTGGCCTTTGTAGGTGGCTCAAAGGTTGTCATTCTAGATGAGCCAACAGCTGGTGTTGACCCATACTCTCGCAGGGGCATATGGGAACTGCTGCTGAAATATCGACAAGGTACCTGCTCCCTCCCCTGGTTAACACATGTTGCTGAAAGCCAGACAGCATCAGTGGCTTATGGGTTATGTGGAGCAGATTATCCTTCCTTGACTGATCAGAGGGGGCACAGGGGCATTATCTGTATCTTTATGTGAAATTTGTTAAAGGCCTGTGTAGGAGACAGCAACAGACAGTACTTTAGGCCAGCGTGCCCTGGTCAATGTCCATGCTGCCTGTTGAGCCCTTGCTCTTTAGAGGGTGGAACTGTATCAAAGGGCCAAAGAATGAGCCATGTCCTGCTACACTTCTAAGGGAGGGAAAAGTGCCTGAAGCCAGATCCTGATTCTCCCCTTATGCTGGTATGAGTCTGGAGTAATTCACTCCTGATTCACTTGGGTTGCTGAGATCAGAACCTGCTCTTCAATGTCTGTATTACAGAAAAACCTTCATGTGCCATGTGGACTCTATCATTGGTTTCAGTCCCTTTTGGTTGCCTGACCCTGAAGCCTCCTTTCGTCCCCCAGCTGAGTAGAATCTGGCAGGTCAGGAGTTTGGCTATAGGTTGCACCTCACATGTCTCAGATAAAGGCACAAATGCAGACCAGTGAGTGCAGTCAGTGCCATTACCTGCAGCAAGTGCAGCTGCTCCCTTTTCAATCCTAGCACTATGAGTGCATGAACAGGGTGTTGGGACATGGGACAGAAGAGAAAAGTCATACCAAACAGATGCCAGGTACTTTCTTCTGTATCTCCTAACCATATGCAGACACCATCTAGCCTGGATCCAGCTCTCACTCAACAACATGAGGGGCATGAGGAGATCAGTGATATCATTGACTTGCTGCTATTTATTGACATCTTCCTGCCTTTCCCTTATTTCTAGGCCGCACAATCATTCTCTCCACACACCACATGGATGAAGCAGACATCCTTGGAGACCGCATTGCCATCATTTCTCATGGCAAACTGTGCTGTGTTGGCTCTTCTCTGTTCCTAAAGAACCAGCTGGGAACAGGCTATTATCTCACCCTGGTCAAGAAGGATGTGGACTCTTCACTGAGCTCCTGTAGAAACAGCAGCAGCACTGTGTCTTACCTGAAAAAGGTACAGCTTCTCATAGCTGCTATCTGCTCCCTTTCCCTATTCACACTCATCATTCTTGTATCAAACGTTAAGCTTGTCCAGAAAGCATTGACTAAGAGACAGTACAATAGGTGGGCTGAAATGAAATCCCATCTCACAGCCACAGAAGATTTTTTCTTATTTCATAGTTTCATAGTTTCTAGGGTCGGAAGGGACCTGAGCAGATCATCTAGTCCGACCCCCTGCCATGGCAGGAAGAGCACTGGGGTCAAATGACCCCAATAAGGTGGACATCCAACCTCCTCTTAAAAACCCCCAGGGTGGGAGCCTGCACCACCTCACATGGAAGCTGGTTCCAGACCCTAGCCGCCCT